CAAGCGATGTGCTGAAACCTCCTATGCACTGTGAACAGCTTGGGGATACGCAATACCAACATCCCTTTTGGAAGAAAATAGTGTCGTATAAAAGAGGGATTGTTACTCCTTAAATAAAGTTGTACGCAATAGGTGACTTTTAATCAAAATTTAAAGCCTTGAAATAGGAATGTAATCTGGGAAAGCGCAGTGGATTGTGCAGGAAAAGCTGGGGGGGACGTGTGCTTCTCCTCTGTGTTACAGACTGTTTCACTGAGCGTTAGACAGTCAGGTGGTTGAGTCTTTGCCGCTGGAGTACAGGGTGAGTTTTCAATTAGCCGTTGGTGTAGTTTCTACACAACCAAGTTTAGCAATGGTTCTCCATATATTATTTTTTCAACGCTTTACTCATAATTCAGGAAGTAGTCAGCTTGTATTTTGTAAGTGTGGTTGTACTCCTCAGTAGGTATCCCATCTGTGTTTATTTTATTTTTTTGACTTAAAAATGCACAGTAGCCCGTTTAGGCAGCTGCTTCAAAAAAAACCCCACCACCCCCCAGCAATAAATGGGGATACAGAGTCCCATGCGTAGCTTTTTGTTACAATACTTAAAAGATAACGTAGTGAGGTGTCTTCGAATTTCTAACTAGTAAGGCTATAAAATGTCTTGATTTTTTTTTTAGCTCTAAATGAAGCACTGACTTGTCTTTAGATACTAGGAGACGGGAAGGGCAGCTAAGCAGTTGAACAGAGAGACACAAAAGACTGCTGTCTGTGTGTAGAGGAACAGGAAGGAAGCAGTGTAGTAGAGAAGGAGGAGTTGTAAGAATTTGAGGTGTAAGGTAAGCTAAATCTAATGGGATGGCTCTTGCATTGAGAAACTTTGTAGTGTACATAAGGCTTATCAGACAGAAGATATGCTCTGCTGTATTTAAACGCTCAGAATTTAGACACGGCTTGCTTTATACTACTCTAAAAGTTCCTTTGAACTGCCTTAAAAGGCGAGACTATACTTAAATAAGTTACAGTCTCTCTATTCCAGTCTTGGTTTGTGCAGTGCATGGAAAAAAGAAGTGTAAATATTTTAAAAATGAGGCTTGGAGCGTTTAGCAGGCCATTTGAGCGTGGAAGAAGGGGTCGTGAAGATTTCAGAAGGGCTGTTATGATGAAAATGTCTCCGTTCTCGCTGACTGATGTTAGCAGTTTCTCTGCTCTCTGTGTTTTGCACAACCCAAGTTGCTGGTAGGCTTCCCACTCCACGATGCTTGTCTCGTTATTTGAGAAGAGAAAACTGATGAGTAGGGAGACGATGTGCTTGGGTTTGAGGCTACTACACTCCTGGAGCAGGCAGCTTGAGATGGACACAGTCCTTCGTGGTTCCCTCAGTGTCACATGTGATTTTAGCTGCTTTGTTGATCTTTCCATGACCTTCCTTTCCACAGGGGAAGTGTAGGATCCATCTGTATGCTGTTAGTGTTTCCCTCTCAATGAAAGGCCCGTGAACAGGGAACAATAACACCATGCTTTTCTGCAGTGGCTTGTGCAGCGAAGGCTGCTGTTGCTGACTACATGACATGCATAGCCTTGTGTGCAAAGAAAATAACTTAATTTGGCATGAATGCTATATGCAAAAGCGAAATTTTAAACATGTTTTTAAGAGATTGTCTGCCAGAAATACAGAAAGAATACAGATAAAATACTGACCAACGTACCAGTATCCTCAGCAGCCCCAGATAGATGGAAGATACAGGATACTTTGCTATAAGTTAGTAACCAGAGAGTGTGATTTCCCTGGAGTACGCCTGATCAGGTTCACAGCTTGCTGTTTGAGCATCTTTCTTTGTGCCTTGGGGCTTTTTGCAGCAGCTTCTGTTTGTGACAGTATAGGGGTTGTGGTAGTCGGTTTCCAAAAATACATCACACAGCGGTTGTGCCCACGTCTCTTGAAGATTCCTGCCTATAGCTGTAAATAAATACATTCCAACCTTTGCCTTCCTCCTTATTGCAAAGGGGTTTGTAACTTCTCGTTTTGTTCTGGCATTTCTCTGGAAAACTTAGTGAAACTGTTGCCTACTGTCTTGTTCTGTAAATCTCTCTACCAGCCCCATTTCTGAGTTAGCAAGTTTTAATGAAGGTGCTAAAATGAATAAATTGGAGTATTTGCAGTTCTGGGTTTGTTCACAGTACATCAAGCTGCTGGGTTTGGGAAGAGTTGCGCTTCATAATGAGATAAGCAAAGCTTTTTGTGACTTGTAGCTTGTTGTCTTACGAGAAATGCTGGCACATTAGAAATGCTGTGTCATTGCTGTAAAATAACATGGCACAATGTTATTTAGTTCTGGTTCTTTGACTACTTTTTTGGGAAGTGCCCCTGCTTTTAAAGGACTGATTGATTACTGCTTCGTTCTGAAGATTGAAATGCGGTTCTTGCACTAGAGATTTTTTTCAAATGAACATGGGAAAATCTGCCTTTTGTTGACTGAAGTGTTGCATTTCTTTTGTAAGATGGATGTTAGAAGTCCACTGTATTATCTGTTACGGCCTTAGGTGTTAGGTCTAACGAAGTCCACTGTATTATCTGTTACGGCCTTAGTGTCTAGAGAACTTTTATCCCGTTGGCTGGAACAGCAGGATATCATTCCTGGATTTGGTCTTTAATCTAGGTATTTTTTGTTCAGAAAGAGTAATAAAACATCTCTTGTTCAGTCGAACTATTCCCATGATGCTTATCAGGCACAGAGGGAAAGTGTTTCCCAGTAGGATACTCAGAAAAAAACAGTGAATCCTTCTCGTGGTAGTATAGTACTGTTCCCTGAGAGAAGTGGAATAGTTCTTCAGAGCCAGGACAAGACAGAAAAGATTAATTCAGGTCTTCGTCCATCTACTCATTTGTAGCTGTATTCTTCATTCTGAAGGTGCAAAGAAAGAGGTGATAAGAAAAAGTAACCCTCTAACTATATATAGATAATTACTGGAAAAACTGATTGGCATCAAACTCTGTGTTGGCCCATTTGAGCATTACACGTTGTAGCTTAACTTGTGAAATATTTTAGTAGACTAGTAAAAAGCTGGGATATCTGTGTAAGAAAGGTAAGTTGTTCTGTGTGGTGCCGAAATGTAGTTTCCAAAGAGGTCTTCCTTCCTGTAAAATGCTCTCAATCAGAGCTCCAGGCGGAATCTCTGAGCAGCTCATGCCCAGGATTTTAGTGGGGAATTAGCAGGAATTGGCTATTTTACCTACTGCTTGTGTTCATGATACTTGTGGGTATGTAATCTCTCTGAAACCTTTTAGTTCTCTGTCAAGTTTAGTTAAAACTGAAATTTGCACTAGAAATTGGGAAGGAAACTGATGAATGTGGCTACAGCATGACTGCACAGCTTACAGAAACGGGGCTAAAAGCTATTTCTGGGCTTAGTATCTTCCTGTCTCCTGCAAAAACTAACTGAAACAACTGCCACATCTCATCAGTTCCTTGCTGTCCCGAGGGCTTCAGCCACTCTCTAAACGGTGTGCCATATGTGGAAAACAGGAGCGACTAATCTTCTGAGGAGTGAAACACTTGAACCTTTCTTGAATTTGGGGGCTGTCCAGGGTACGTATATGGAAGTTTATCGTTTGTGATAAATGAGAAGCCAGACTGGCAGGCTATTTTTGGCCTTAAAGTGCATGAGGTCAACTTCCATAGTCTCGTTACGAAACTTGGAAAGTGTTTTTACCTCTGGTCCAAATGCTGGGGATTTAGTAATGCCGTAATGCCATACTTTTCATTTCCAGCCTCAGAGCTTTTGGTGTAAATGTACTAATTTTGCAAAAAGGAAGAAGATGCAATAGTACTGAAGCTACGGTTGGTGTACTTCAAAAGCCAGAAGTAAAAGCCACTTTTGTTTTTTTTTTTTTAACTCTCTGGATTAACCAAGCTACTTCTCAGATTCATTTGATGTGCTCTGCATCTTCTATGCTGTAGCTGTGACCAGAGCCTCAATCTCTTCTAGTCTGTAAGTGGATAAAGGACAATGACAGTGCAGGCTAGACCAGAACTTTGCACTCTAAGCTATCAAACCTGTAATGCAAAGCACAGTTGCCAGATTTGTTTAAATATTGCTTGTTCTAGCTTTAACGTTTAGCACGTGAGACTTGGGTTAAACTACAAAGAATTTAACCTATGAAGTTTGTTTAAAATTCAGGTGAATAAATTAACATCTTAAGACACACCTGGGGAAGGGAACATGTGCTGTGCTTTTTAACTTAGAAGGCTGACAAAGATACACCTTTATAGTGGAAGAAGACTGATAGAAAAGTCTGGGCCAGCAAGTTCTTTTCTTTAAATACTTGTTGGACATGCTCCCCCCCCCCAGTTTGCTGGGTTTTTTTTCTGAATGAGACAAGGGTATGTGATGTAATTTATTCTGGAAAGGAGTGTTTTAAGTATTTTTAAAGTTTTAAAGGAGTTTTAAATGTCTGTGAAGCCTGCAGCCCACTTCTTAGGTAACTTGGTGTGAGCATGCTAATTCCATCGTGATGTTCTAACAGCAGCTGTAGTGGAAGATCTGAATTGCAGCTGCTTGAGAGGGAAGTGGTAAGGAAAACAGATTTGGATATGATGCATTAAAAGAACATCATCTTTGTGCATTAAGAACCTGATCATAGAAGTTTACAGCCAATTTATTTATGATAGCTAAAACCCAAGTTCTGCAAAGCCTTTGCTTAATTCTCTTAACTGCATACTTCTAAAAGCTTTATTTTTTCTTTTGGGATTTAAGTTTCTTTTGGTCTGTCCTGTGCGCTGCCTCTGTGCACAAGAGGTGGTTTAGAGCCAAGCCTAGAGTTAGGGTGTCAGCTTTTTTAAAGCACCGAGCAGAATGTGAAAATAAAACCACTGCTAACGCTTAGCGACTTCTTTTGTTTGTCTAGTTTTGTCACGGCTAGAGGAGCCAGTAGCTGAGCCTAATGCCCTGTGAGGAGAAACAGGTATAACCTAGGCGTCTGGGACACTGTTGAGGGCTTGACGCTTGTGTGTCAGCGCACAACTCAGCGCCCACCTCGCTGGGGTAGGGGCGTGCCAGCGAGCGCCTCACCCCTGGGGCACCCTGCGCTTTTGTCTGCCCGGCTCTCGCCTGCTGCGGGGGCACTGCGCTGGCTGCCAGGGGCGACCTAACAAGGGGCTTTTGTCCCCTCAGTTCCTCATTGTTCCTGCGATTGTGGGTAGTGCCCTTCTCCACCGGCTTTCTGATGATCGATGGGAGAAGATAACAGCGTGGATGTACGGCATGGGGCTCTGCGCGCTCTTCATCGTCTCCACAGTGTTTCATATCGTTTCTTGGAAAAAGAGTCACTTAAGGTATCGCTATAAGATGTTTTATTTTCATGTTCTGTGATGTTTTTCCGTTGTGTTTCTCAGTCAAAAACATGCTTGTACAGAAGGCTGGAGTGGTGCCTTGTACTGAATCATGAAGAAACCACTCTTGATTCTGTTGGAAGAAATTGTGAGCTAGGCTCATGTGCAAATGAACTTTAATGTCTTTCTCGCAAAGAAATCTGTGTTTTTCGAGGCCTTAGTGGCTCTTAATCCAGACGTTGAATGGGAAAAACATAATCTAAGTGCATGGTGGATGTAATACCACTGCAGAAATGAGACCACTGTCTGGGACTATGGCGTGCTCAAATACTTTGAGGAACACAGTGTTTGCCAAGACAGTCGTGATACGATACAGAGCTAGCTAGCAGAAAGCCTCCTTGGGAGCAAGGCAGCAATAGCAAACTAAGATGTGATTTTTTTTTTATTATTATTATTATTTTGTTTGGGTTTTTTTTTAATTTTATTTTATTTTTGTGTCCTGTTATGGCTCCTGTATAGTTCTGGGCCATAAACTGGGTTTAACCAGTAGTCACTGAATAGTAACAGTTTCTGGATGAGGCAGAGCTGATATCACAGCTTTCTGCCACCTTGCCAGAGAGCAGGATGCATGATGGGGTAGAGAAGGAGAGGAACGGGGGAGTGCTCTTTTCCTACGTGTCTCGCCTGGGGCCTCCTGAAGTTGGCTGGACAATCTTCCAAATGGTTTTAGGAGGTTATGGAGCTGATGGTGTTTTCCCCAGAGTAATTCCAAAGTGTGTCAGGAAACTGGAATGACAGAAAAATCTTTCCAAAATCCGTCTCAGTGACTTGTTCTCTCTCTTACTAGGACAATGGAGCATTGCTTTCACATGTGTGACAGAATGATGATCTATGTCTTTATCGCGGCGTCGTACGCACCATGGTAAGAAATCTAAAGCGCAGCTTCAGAACTAACGCTTCTTCCAACGTGAGCAGTTTATCATTGCAGCTTTCCAAGACCTACAGGTAGCTGCTTAGCTGCGATTGACCACAGGCTGCATTGCAGAATGGGACACGATGTAATCTCCTGGGATTTGCTGAACAGAAAGTAATATTAGAAAACAGCAGAAAATAATTTATTTCTATTCCCCATACCCC